TTCAGAGAGGAAGGGGGAGGGAGAGAGAGATAGAAACATCGATGATGAGAGAGAAACATTGATCGGCTGCCTCCTGCACGCCCCACACTGGGGATTGAGCCCGAAACCCGGGCATGTACCCTAACCGGGAGTTGAACCGTTGACCTTCTGGTTCATAGGTCGATGCTCAACCACTGAACCACGCTAGCCGGGCTCCTCAATGATTCTTGCATGTGTTGGTTACTGCTGTGGTGGGTGCAAAATGCGCTTTATCATCCACCCTTTCTTCTGTATTTATTAGCTGGTTTTTCTGTAAAGAATACCTTTCCTCCTCCTCGTTAATTTTTTGGGATGATTTTTTTAGACTCAGGCTGAACTCATGGGTTTCCGTTCCCCCTTCTCTGTTATTCAGCGTGTGCAGTAATGAAGCCTCTTGTGTATGTGCGTGTTCAGAGGATCCTGAGTTTGGCCCGTGAGCTCCTCGCCCTGCTGGCTCCACACTGTTTCAGAACCCACTCACTTCGTTAAATACATGGTCTAGGCTGGCTTTATTGTTTCCTTGCTCCAGACCTGGAAACAGCCATTTCTCCAAGGAGCCTTGGTTCCTTGGAATGGAGAAGGATATTTAGAAACCAAGTTCTGGCTGGTATTGGGGATGGTACTGCTTTTAGGGTGCGTTTGTGGAAAAATCAGGCGGGTGTGCTGCTACCCTGTGTGTCAGCAGCACAGGGCTCTTCCTCTGCCCCCTCCTGACTTGTGGCCCCCTTTTCCCACGTCAGAATTTGGCCCCCAACATCAGTGTCTTGTCCTTATGTGTTCAGCCCTCTAGTAAACACGAGACACTTCCAGAATTGCTACCGCGATCCTGCTACCGGCAGCAAACCCGATAGGTCAAGTTCAAGGCCTTTTTCACGTCTGTTGGTACCTAGAGTAGATGCCACTGTGTTAGAAAAGCATTTGGATTGAGTTCTGTGTTATTCCTTCTGTGAAAGATGAGCTTAGTAAGATATAATAAGGTATTTTTTGGTAAACAGATAAAAATGAATTAAAAGAGGGATTGGGGGTTGAGTGAGGTGGTAGGAGGCACCTAGTAGTATCTAGTTGAGGGTGGCGGCCAAGCAGGAGCCACACTCCCCTCACAGTGTGTGACAGGTGTGTGGCAGGTGAGTGGCAGGTGAGTGGCAGGTGTGGCAGGTGTGAGTGGCAGGTGAGTGGCAGGTG